ATCCTGGAGTAGCAACCTACCATCACCAGCACGGGAATCACAAGACCCAGCACATTTGTGGTGAACAGGTTGTAATGCTCCCAGACTTTGCTCTCCTTGGGATAGTCACATCCAAACTTCTGGGACTCTTTTGTTTCCTGTATGAAGATAAAATCCGGCAGAGAGACAAACAAGCTCAGCATCCAAACGAGCATGGTCAGAATGATGGCTGCCTTCTTTGTGCGATAACGTGCAACCCTGTGAGCGTGCATGATGATCATGTAGCGGTCCAGCGTCATGACAACCATGAAGAAGATGCTGCTGAAGAAGCCAATGTGGTGAGACCCGGAGATCAAACGGCACATGAAGTCTCCAAAGGTCCACTGGCCAACCCTGGTATTGTGAGAGAAGAAAGGCAGCATGAAGACAAAGAGGAGGTCAGAGAGAGCCAGGTTGAAGAGGCAGATGTCTGTCAGGTTGCTCTGATTGCGATGCTTCACCAGGACACACACCACTAGTCCATTACCTTTGGAAGAAAAGATACAATAAGTGTAAATGTCACACTGTTACATATTCTTTCTGTCTCTTTCTCTCTGTCGGTCTCATGTTGTTGTGTTGCACATAAACACACCTGCATACAGAGTTTAGGCCTAAAACGTGCTTTCTGTTCCCATAAGGGACAACAGGTCCCTGCAATGTGTAAATACAATACAATCCCCACAATATAGACACAAGAAGACACACCTACCTATGAAGCCCAGGATGAAAACCAAACTGTAGAGAATAGCAAGAAACACTTGGCTGAATTCCTTTACATCGGTGGAGTTGGCTGGAGCATAGTCTCCATAATCAAAATCACTGTAATTGCCATAATTGTCTTCTCTTTCATTAAATTCTGCTGAGAAAGAGAGAATGATGTCATTAGTACTAGTAGTAGTATCAGTAATAGTCTTTCAACTCTGTTTGTAATATTTAGATGCATAGTCAAAAAACATATGCAAGTTGATCAAATGTAAATTTAATTGTATTATCTGGATAAAGAAAAATT